CTACAGACCCCTGATGGCTAAGCAAGGCGGCAAATTTGGTTCACGCTGTACACCCTGCCCAAAACATGATTATTCCTTTCCTTCATTACACCGATGTAGGAATGCACAGTGATGAGGTTTCTTAGTCGTTTGGGCAGTACAGCATGTTGGCTCACTGTGGTTTGCTGGGACAGGCCAGCGCGGTTGCTTGTTTTGATGCCAACATGCTGTACTATGAAAGCCTGAAGCCGCAAACCCTAGACACGAAACAACCGCCAAATCCTGGAGCTGTAATTGTAGAGGCTTGTTGAAGAATGACGACAAGTTTCCGAGACAGCACGGTTGGGGTTATCATATACCTGGTTACCTGATCGCATATTAAAGCATAAGGCCCGTCATTGACCAATAGGAGAACGATGTTCAGGGCACACATGGCTGGCTCAGGCTAGGGGAGATGTCGGAGCCGGTGGAACGGTTCGACGTTTTCTTCTCGCACACTTGGATGACTTCCGGTAGGTGGAAGTTCTTGTCACTTCTGTTTCAGTATGGCTGGCCTTGGATGCTGGCCAGCTGGGCTTGTGCCGTGACCCTGGTGTTTTTCCTGAGTGTCGATGGGATGTTGCTAACGCCTTTCAAATTTCGCATGAATGTCTTGGGCTTCCAGAAAGACTGTCCTTACGCTCCCTGGGTCTACCTCGCTGGAGTCTCTGCGATGCTGATCTCTTTCCTCGCCTTTCCTTACTGCTGCCCTAGCAGCCTCTCTCCGAAAGGCTTCCTGGATGTGGTCAGCATTCATCAGACACTTATTGGTTGAATCAGTGCGCTTTCGATTTTTTGAGATCGTATCAATCGTATTACCCCCCAAAAGACCAGAAAGCTTATGCTCCTTTTTTGTTTGGAGGGTGATAATATCACCAGAAAGAGCTGAAAGTCTATGCGTTTTTGGTCTATGAACCACATTATCTCCATAACGAACTGAAAGTCTACACTCTTTTTTGCTGCTCCAGAAACTCAAAACCCTATAAACCCTAAACCGCCAAGCCCCCAAACCCAGTAAAGCCTGAACAGCTAAGGGCAGATCCGGAGCTCATGAACCGAGGAGTCTACGGTCTAGGGGGCTTCCTTCGTGTATCAAAGGAGATGAGGGTGCTCTGGTCGCCACCATACCTTACCCGCCCCTTGGCCAGGGATTAGGGTTTAGGGTATAGGGCTTGGGGTTTAGGGTTTAGGGCGTGGGGTTTAGGGTTAAGGGTTGAGGGTCCTTTCACCTCCAAATGCAGCGGAAAGCCCCCACCCTCCCTAAGCCCTACACCCTATAAATCTGGAAACCGGAAACCCCAGGATTATGGTGTGTCTTCGAGCTCGCTGCTTTTCGCAAGGCCAACCCTACCAGCCCGTTGCGTGTGAAGCCTCTCTTCGTGGAGCGTCAAGTCCCTGGCTGCATGTGGTCGTGTTTAGGGTTTGAGGGTTGCTTTACTCTGATGATTCAGGCCCCATATTATATGAGGTGGAGGTGGTGCTGTGTTAAGACGGTTTGTACAGCGTAGAAGCCTACATCACTAGACTGACTAGACTGTACAGATTTGGGATGTAATGTCTGGTAGGTAATCATTTCTCCTTGTGAATAAACGTGCACACGCCAAATAGCAAGGTCCCCCGAACCCTAAACCCTAAACCCTAACACGCTAAATAGCAGCCTGAAACATTGCTAGACTTCGGGCGAGGTGTTCGTTAAAATGCTCCTCACCTCAACGCCCCCTCCCCACGAATTTGAGATGTAGTCCCCCCCTCCCGTTTTAGAAGTTCTTCCTGGAAGTTTCAGAAAGCTTGCCCCTCTGACTTTTTTGCTGGGTTCCTTAAGGACGAAAGGAACCCTAAAAGGGTTTAGGGCTTATACACCATTAAACTATTCATAGTATAATTCTATAGGGCTCCCTACTTTTAAGGGTCATGTCCGTCCTTAGTGTCGACAATGGAGGGACGTGATTCCACCTTACCCAGACCACAGGAAGGATCTAAAAAGTAGATCCCCTAATTTGGGACCCTATACTACTAAGGGGTGCTTTAAAGGAGCCCGATTAGGGGATCTATTTTTTAGATCCTTCCGGTGGTCTGGGTATGTACAGTCTTCGGTAGAATGAACGAGCCCCAGACCTTCCAAAGTCCCTTGATGAAGGACGATATGGGGGTTTCCGAAAATAGGGGACCCCAATATAGTTCCCCCGAATAGTAGGATCCTTAATATAAGGACCCCAAAATAAGGTACCCTAATTTTCGGAGATTCCCATATGCCTTAAGTCAAACTCGGGTTCCTACTGTTGATGATATAAATCCTGCAGTACCTTCAGGACCCTAAACTATGAGAATTATGGTCTATCCCTAATTGTTATGGGTAATGCAGGGTTTTTTGTCATCAAGGTACTATGACGTGAGGAATTTTTTGTTCCTAAGGATTTTGGAAGGTCTGGGAATAGCGCGGCAAGAGTGTGAGGAGCTGTGGGATGAGGAGGAACGGGAGGTAAAGTTCATGCTTGAAATCCTGCATGACCTCGAAACACGCTAAACCACCCGATTCCCAGGGTGCACGGTGCTGAGGGCCATGCCGACTTTAGTATCAGTATGTCCGAAAACCTAACCTTGGGGACCGAATGAACCTTCAAGTAGGGGCCTTATACCCTTATACTATGAATCTCTATATGTGGTATATGAACCTTGAACCCTTTTGGGGTTCATTTCGTCCTTAAGGAAACCGATAATTCTGATAGACATCATTGCACCGAATGCAGGAACGGTGGTAACAGGCGTTCGGGATGGAGTGACATAACTAGGGGGTTCTGCAAACAGGATCCCCATTAGAGCGATTATTTGGGGACAAGTACCGGCACCCTGCAAGGGAATACCCGCATGTATCCAGTGCAGCAGTATGGTAGTCACTAAGGTAACGGGATTCATCCACGCATCCCCACAGATTCATACCCTATGCACGCACAAGAAGGTCCTTCGCGCCACTTCCCCGGTGTTGCCCCCTGCACACCACAGATGTAGCCCCCAAACACCCCGCATGGAATCCCTATATGGGATTTTCGGAAAATAAGGGGTACCTTATTTTGGGGTTCTTACAATCAGGATCCTACTATTTATCATTGACCGGTTGCGGCGACCTAGATATAGGGGACTTAGATTTATATAGGTTTTGGAGGCAGCTCAGCCAAATGTTGACATATTTTGACAAAATAAAGACAAATAAAGACAAATAAAGACAAATAAAAACAAATACAGACAAATAAAGACAAATAAAGACATACATTAGACAAATAAAGACAAAT